TTTGTAGAAAGCATCTGTGACTTTGAAGTGATGCTGTTTTCTGTGTGTGCCTAAACCCCTCCAAACCGTTTTCTTTGGAAATGTAAATAAAATGTAAAGCTTTGTGCAGATAGATGTGTCCTGTGTTTCCTACCAGCTGACACTCCTGTTGAACTAGCATCCCCCAGCACATGAGGGTGAAGGACCTTGGCCACCAAGGCCAGGCTCCAATGCAGGGAAATGAGCTGGGGTTTTTTTTTTGGCAGGTCTTTGAGATTAATGTTCCCCCAGCTCTCTGTCTCTCCCACCTTGAAAAATCTTGGTGTAATCCTGCCATCATTCTGTGCTTGGTTCTGGATCCCAGCCTGCTACCCAGCGTCCTTCCTTCCCACAACATCCCCTTCTCTCCTGGATTCCCAGCATCGTATCCTCTCCTGTTGGAGCAACCTGTTGGAATCCTCACAAGCCCCAGCAAAACAGGTGAGGCAGTTCTGCTTCCCCTTGCTCGGCCATGACACACTCCAGAGCTGAGGAGAGAGGAGGAGGTGGAGATGCCCAGCTGGAGTAGGAAGGCAGGACCTTGCTCACCTCTGATCCCTGTGAACTGTGGGGAAACCAGAGGCAAAGCCCTCACTGGGTGGGTGGGCAGGAGCTGTAAGCTCTTCACAGGCAGGTTGGAGCCTTCAGGACAGGTTGGGTCCCACCTCCAAGTGACTCATTCCCTCCCAGATACACCACCCTTGGGAAGTCCTATTGAGCTGGGCACTAGAGGAAAGTGTCCCCATGCCTGTTCAGGACACTTTTTAAAAACTTCACCTATTGAAATAGTGCTCCTTTGGCTGACCAAACACTGGTTCTCCAATAACTTTCCACTTTAGATTACAAAACTGGAGATCTCTGAGCATCTGTGGTGAGAGGAGGACTGCCACCATGCCCTGTGCTGCTGGCTCTGGTTGTGTTGTTCGTGTTGCTGCAGGTGCTCTCTGAATCTGCTGTATCACAAAAGTGAAATAACATCCTTCAGGCTGAAATCAGAAACTCATCAGCTCCAAAAGCCTCCATCTAAAATGAACAGATGTTCCGCAGATGGTATGCTCCACTCACCTCCAAGCAGCTCCATGCCTTGCTCATGTATTCATGTTGACCCTTTTAGCTCAGTCCTGATTGCTCAGCAGCAATTGAAGATCCACAGAACTGTAAAAGGAAGATAAGAGCAGGGCTTCCCTGCCTTGCTTTTATTTTAGTGAAACTCTAATTGCACAGAAAATAAGAGAAAAATTGTTGTGCTGTTTAGCAGTGGAATGTACTGGGGCAGCTCAGATCTCAGATACAAGCCTTCAGCCATGCATCCTGAGGAGGTGGGTGGAGCTGATAAATGGCTGGAACACACCTGTTAGGAATGCTGACAGTGTTTGCACAGCACATGGTGTTTGATTTAGGAGTGGTTCTTGAATGCTGAGTCTCTTAAACAGAGGCTGACAATTGAATATATTAAGGAACTAAATACTTTATAAATACTTTTATGGATATTACTATTTTCCAAACTGATGTGCAGTCATAGAATCACAGAGTGGTTTAGGTTGGAAGGGACCTTAAAGATCTCCCAAACACCCTGCCATGGGTAGGGATGTAACCTACTGTGTTGGAAAGGATGGATAAATATAACTGCCTGGCAAAAGATTCATAATAGCACAGCCAGGATGAAAACAATCCCCCCTACTGGCTGAACAATGCCCTTACCTACAGATAGGTCCAAAAGTCAAACGGACTGTTCCATCTCAACCCCCAAAATCTGTGGTTCATCCCACACCTGTAACCCTCCCCTGAAGCATCAGGTGTCTGTGACCCCATTGGCCTAAGTCTTGTTCCAGCCCAGCTTGAAGCCCCCTGATAAGGAGTCTCTGAGGAGCCAGACGCCCTCTTGGATCTTCCCCCCTCTTAGAACTTCTACCCTCTCCTAGAGCATCCTCTCTACCCCTTGTCTCTCCCCTCCCCCATCACCTCAGACCTTGCCATCTGCTGTGTCTGGCAACTCCAAGCAGGACCTTTTGCTATCCCTATTAAAGCTTATATTCTAAGAGCAGCCTTCAGAGATCTCTTGTCTCCATTCATCAAAGCCATCCTGGAGCACAGCGTTCCCGACACTACTGGATCAGTTGCATCAAGGCCCCATCCAACCTAACCTTGAGCACTTCCAGGGGTGGGGCAGCCATAACTTCTCTGGGCAACCTGTGCCAGTGCCTCATCACTCTCTGAGTAAATGTACGTATGAGCACAGACATGTTCCAGCTCATGTTATATAAATATTTATACAATTTTTAAAAAGCACATATTTATTGCCCACAAAGTCACTGTCAAGTTATTCTTATTTGGTAAAACCAAATTTCTAAGCACTAATATGATTATTCCTATGCTTCATATTGTGGTTGCTCATCCAAGGTCCAGGCACAGGCTAACTCTTCGTGAAAAAACAGGGATAGGATGGTCCCTGCCTGAAAGAGCTTACAGGCTAGGAAATATCCCTTTTACATCAAAAAAAAACTATGGGCAGAGGAACCAGACCAGTATATTCATCACACTGAAGGACCAGACGTAGTTGGTGTACCAGTAGAAGAGAATTGTGGACATGAGCTGGCAACTATTCCTTTTACTAAAGTGGTAAGGATTTCTGTTGTGGAATTGAATGCCATTAGCCACGCTTGATTCTGATTTGGGGAAATCTCTCAGATGAGCAAGGAAAACTCATCTGCCCTTCATCCTGCCCACATGAAAAGCTTGTGTGAGCAGAGAAGTGGTGGTCCACCTGTCTTTCCAGCTCTGCAGCTGCAGAAGGAAAGGTTACCACCTCCAGCATTGAAGACGTGGTGGATGTGAACTCTGTCAGCTATATCCAGGATATTATCTGAAACATCTACATAAGCCAGGCCAACAAATGGGATTTGCAGCCCTTAGATGTCCAGGACACACAGATCTTCCAGATCTCCCTGTTTTCCAGTAAGCATTAATCTTTTAAAATTTATTACAAGTCACAAAACCTGGGGTCCCAAGCAGACCTCACTGGTGCATCCACTGGTGCACTACCAATTCTGCTGGTCTGGAAAAGGGAAAATTCAAGCATTTCTATTCAAAGCAGCAGAGATAACTCAGAGAGAGGTTATCACTGAGGATCTCTGAGGATGCTTAAGATAACCAAAAGCAAAATGTAAGATGCATTTAATGATAGGTTTACCCAAATGCACAAAGCGTTCAACTGGGCCCAACTTTGAGGGAGCCTTTCATGAGGACAAGCTTCAAGGGAAGTGAATCAATCTAAATTCTAACTGCTTTTCCCTTCGTGCATCAAGCTCCTGCTCAGATCAATGCTGTCTTCTGAGAGGATACAGATCCAGCAAAACCCCTGGGGTATTCAAAAGCAACAAAGCTGGTGTCCATGAGCACAATGCAGATTTTGTGCAAATTATTTCCTTACATACCATGCTATCAATATACATAATTAAGATCTCCCCCGGGAAAACTTCTAGGAACATTGTATTTGTCTGAGCTTTTTCTTTTAGTTTCTGGCAAAGAGAAGCATCTTGAAACAAAAGACAGTAAGGCAAGGTTGGTAGAGGGGTAACACCTTTTACTAGACCAACAGAAACTGGAAAAAAATGGAAAAAAAAATAAAAACCAAGCAAGGTAAAGCAGAATCCGACAGACATGGGAATGCCTCATGTGCCCTAAAACATGGATAGTTTTATCCATCTGTATCAGCTGATCTAATAAAAGATACTGTCTCTCATTACAAACATTAAGTTACATCTCTGGACAATAATGCCCATGGCAATATTGCCACCATAATGAAACAAAGACACAGAAGTGATGAGTGACCTGAAGACAAATTTGAAAGCAACAGTGCACTTAAAATTACCTAGAATGAAATAAAGAAGACCCTGCAGGACTGTGGTCTGGTTCTGGAAAGGTTATTTAGGCTAGCTTTAATGCAGTACTCTGTGCTTAATAAATTAACACAGACAGAGAATCATCATAGACTCACAGAATGGTTTGGATTGGGAAGGAACCTCAAAGATTATCTAGTTGCAACCCCCCCCACCCCCTCCCCGCCATGAGTAGGGACACCTCTCACTAGAACAGGTTGCTCAAAGCCCCATTTAACCAGGCCTTGAACATTTCTAGGAATGGGGCATTCACAGCTTTCTCAACCTGTGCCAGTGTCTCATCACTCTCACAGTAAAGGATGTCTTCCTTATATCCAGTCTAGATCTCTCCTCTTTTATCTTCAAGCTATTCCCCCTTGTTCTGTCACAATGTGCTCAGGCAAAAATTCACTCTTTGTTTTATAAGCCCCCTTTAAGTACTTTCAAGTTCACCTTCACTACATCCTTGTGAGTGTTTTGATTTTGTGATAGTGTTACAACCACTAAATCTGTGGTGCTGGCCACATTCTATATTTGGTGGATACAGGATATTAGAAAACAATGTCATGCAAAGATAATAATCAGATATTTATGGCCAATTGAAGAGTTCTCAATCTCTGCTCAAGCAGAGATCCAGGTTTGGATTTATTTATCTTGCACAAATTACTCAGTGCCCAGAGATTGTATAGGTGAGGAAGAAAATGCCACCGTCTTGGACAGATTGTAGACACCCTGTAGATCCATCATCAGTGTTCATGAAAAATGGGATCAGTGAAATTGTTTGGGATAAACTGTGCTATAAAGCAGCAGTGGAGGCACGGAGGCATTTTTGGCATGGAGGCCAAAAGGCTGTGAAAATGTTTACTGGTTTTGATACAGCCAGTTGTCAAGGCAGAGGTGGACACACAGGCACACCTCACAGGGCTCATCGGAGGAGCCCTGGGCCTCCTTGGAAGGGATTATTCAGCCCTTAGTCACCACTCTGATAGCAGCACACGAGGTGTGTGCTGGCAGCCAGCCCCAGTCCACCCTGCACCTTGCTGGCTGCCAGAAAAATAATGAGCAAATACTTCCGCTTTCAGGCTGTCCCTCCCCTCTCCCTGCACCTGCAGCAAGAACCAGGGCTCTGCCTGGGACAAACTGGAACCTCCGTGGCAGCGGCTGGGCTGGGAGCGGGGAAAGGCGACCCAGCAAAGAAAGACCAAGCGACAGAGGGTTGGAGCACAGCTGGGAGCCATCCTGCGTGTGGGGTAGGACACCAGCACTGAGCAGCAGGTTTGCCCAAACAGCTGAGTCCTCAGCTCCTGGGGAAGATGAGTATTTCATCGGAGCACAAGCCCCTTGGGAAGCAGGTCACCGGCAACCTGCATATGGTGAGTAAGGTACGTCCTTAAGGGTACAATTCCCTCATGCAGGATCAAAGCACCCCTACATGTAGCCCTAATGGGCTACATTTGAGTGTGTTTTTCCCCCCATATGCTAATCTGAAGACACCAGGCCTTGCCAAATATCCCTAAGAAGAAGATTCTAGTTAAAACCTAGACTGATTCTGGCCTTTTTGCACCTGTTGTATTACAGGAGGGCCAGGTCTCTCACAGGCATGCAAGATCTGACAACAGCAAATAACCAGAGTGGCTCTTCTCCTTTGGCAAGAAATGGAATTCAATTAATATGAACTTGAATTGATCAGTTCCCTAAATAGAACAACCCTGTTGTAGGTTTTGGGGTTTTGAACAAGTCTTATGAGTCTCTAATGATGACAAAGCTGCCCTGTGTTGCTGACATGCAGGATCATCAGGAGGGAGCAGTAGTTTTTTTCTAGCTATAAGGAAAATTAATGGTGGTCTCAGCATGTTACTAGGCAGAAATCAGTGATGAGATAATTTTTTTTTACTCTCCTCTACCCTCAGTCTATTGCTAACCAGTTTGTCTTCTTGGCTAAAGATGAACAATCTCTTCTCCAGACCTCTCTGTATTAAGAAAACCCACTTGCACGGTATCCTATGTTGCACTTTTCAGATGTAAGTTGCAAAATGCTTCCCTATGGAAGTAACTGTTTTACAGAGTAGTAAACTGGGGCACAAATAGATGGATTTACTTTCGTGAGTGTCACCTTGATGGATAATTACAGAACTGGGAATCAGCTGATGCCAGTACTTCCAGTCTGCTGAGAACCACTTTGATGCCAGGCTAAAACCATTAATCAAGATGTAAGAACATGAAGTTTGTTGGGCTACTGTATTAAGGAATAGCATGTTATCCATTTGTATTAGTGATAAACAGCATGAAACATCTGACCTGCCATCTGAAAATGGAGCAAAGGCTGAAAAGCCTGAGACTCTCCTGTCAAATTTTCTCTGGTGGGGAGTGCTGTTTGTAGCTCTTGGACTATCAGCAAATCTCCTAGGGAGAGACCTGACTACAGAAACAGCTTTGGGCTGTGTTTTTCAGTAGGTGGAAATCACAAGATAGTCTCAGGCAGAATAGTGCTTATCATCTTGACCCAAGCGTAAATGATTGCTCTTGAGCTGAAACTACCCACACTAGTGCAAAGCAATATTCCAGCAGGGTCTTTGGCCTGAATCTCCAGTTGCTTCCCTGGCTTGCTTAGGGTGTGAGCAAATTTCTCCTAAATCTGATAATTTGCTCCTTTTAAAGGGAAAGTGTCCCATTGCACCAGGCTGTCTGTTCCTAGTCCCATCCTTTTGTCAGCTCTGTTCTCGTTAAATCCTCTGTCAGCCAACCCAGCTCACTAAGATGAAAGAGAAGCAGAGTTGGCATGAGGTGAGGAAGAAAGCACATAGATAGGTACAAGAACAGGACAGGGAGAGGGCACAGGAGCCCCCTCCCTCCTCTTGGTGTGTGCTATGAGATCAACTCACGTCATCCCGTGGGTCTGTGCCCATGTGATGCAGCTAAGCACGTAAGTACACACTTCACCTGAGGCATGTGACCAGCAGCACTGAGGCAGCTCTTTTTGTGCTCAGATCCAAGAAAGTGCAGGTGAGCTCCTGGAAAATAGGGTTGTTTATTGACTCACGCCTTCCCAATGGCAGGTGTGGCCCTGGCCTGGCTTGTGACTCGCATTACAGTAGTGCTGGCAGGAGGAAAGGAACTGTCTTCTTTCTTTCTTCCCTTTTCACTTGCTGAGTACTACGTAAAATGACCAAGTGTGAAGGGAAGCTGGTAAAATTTTTCAGAACTGAATATACAGGAAGGCCAATTTTAAAAATCCAGCTTTACAGGTATTCAGGCCTGCTTCAATTCACACAATGGTGTTAATACAGAGGGTTAAAAAATGCAAACAAAACCACAATCTTTACATTTTCTCCTCTTACGTCCATGTCAGTTGCATGAAATATTTCCTTTACTTCCTAACTAAAGCCATACTTTTTAAGGTGCTTTGCTAAACAGCTTCTGTCCTTCACCTCTGACATTATGGATTTTTGTGTCTTCAGTGTTTGCAGCTGAACCCCCAGATGAGTGGAAGCCAATTCCACCTATTATAAAGAGCTTTAGTTTCTCCTTTGAAGAGGAATGAACAATTCAGATGATAAAAATGAAGTGGCACAGCTTTGGGCTCTATCTTTGTCCCTCTGCACAAGGGGTGGGTGAGAGTTCATGTACTGCTCTTGCTGTAGGTGGCCCACAGGGACAATGCTTGTGAGTGACACAGGAGATCAGTGTTGGATCCTGTAGTCACTCCCAGATTTCCTAGGCAGGGTACTTCTTTTCCGTCTTTCCCACCAGGAAAATGACACTTTCCTACATTCCAAGGATGAGGTGAGGACTTCGCCATTTAGAAATGTCCAAGTCTCTGCTGCTCTAGTTGCAAGAGTTGTATTAGCATTCTGCATCTGCTTTTTGCAATAAATCAGGTGGAGGTTCCCATCTGATACCCACAAAATGGGAGCTCATACTGCTCTTCACTCATTCCATCCTTCAACCACAATAATCTGTCTTTTCCTTGACACTTCCATGTTGATGACCTCAAACTGATAATGAACATCACTTTTCACTTTTTTCTTTTTCAGTTGTCACCAATTGTGGAGTTAAATGTTGGTGGGGAGATGTACACGACAACACTGAGCACCTTGAAGAAACACCCTGGCTCCAAGCTGGCAGAGATGTTCACCGGCCAGCCCAAACTCAGGACTGACTCTGAAGGGAGGTTCTTCATTGACAGGCCAGGCACCTACTTCAAATACATCTTGGAATACCTGCGCAGTAACCAAGTGCCCACCCAGTGCATCCAGGACGTCTACAAGGAGGCGTTGTTCTATGACATAGAACCTTTGATCAAGCAGCTTGAGGACTCCCCACAGATCTTTGGGGAGCTCGTGGCGAGGAGGCAGTTTCTGGCTCGTGTGCCCAACTACAGCGAGAACATCGAGCTGATGATCCGCATCGCCAGGGCAGAAGCGGTTGCATCCCGACAGTCCAGCGTCATCGTATGCGTGGTCAGAACCGAGGAGGACGCAGCCAGGTGTCAGGATGCCTTGAACAGTTTGGACACGGATAAAAAATCTGTGGTGAAGTTTGGCCCCTGGAAGGCTGTGCCAAGTATTTCTGATCTGCTGGACTGCATTCAAATGGATGTTGAAGCCAAAGGGTATAAAATATCCTTTCAGCCCCATGTTGCTGAAAAAGGTTTTCGCTTCAAATCGCATGACTTCTTCTACAAGTTCCTGTTCACCTGGTGGTAGCAAAGTGCCACCATTGGTAGGGAACATTAGAAAGCAATCACTGGAACAAATTAACCTGGACTGTGGAGACTAAACCACGAGCTACCAGAGGGACAGGATGAAATGCACAGGCCAACAAAAGGATCTCCTTTGGCTGTTTGCCATATCAAGGAGCACTTAAGAGCCACTTTACTTGGGCTTTAGGGGATAACTTCTTAGGGGATGTAAAAGGCTCCAGAAAAAGGACGAATTTTACTCTTCAGTGTTGCTTACTATTCATTCAGTTCAAAGAGATGGATCTGTGAATAGAGCCAACCTCACTCAACCTAAGGGAAATGAATAATCCCAAATATGTCTCGTGGACATGTAGAGTTGCTCTCTCAGTGCAAATGGGAACAGGCCATATATGTGGAAATCCTGACTGAAACAGTGATATTACCACATACTTGAATTAAATTTAGTTTCTAAATGGGAAGGCAAAAGCTATTTTTCTCTCTCCTTTCTACACTAGAATCTGGGTTAAAAGGAAGGATTCAGTTCCTTTGATCGCTTCTTATTCCTCCAGCAGACAGCCTACTCTCTACTCAATGTATTTATTACAATTATTTATTATTTGTTCTGAAGGAAAGACAGAGAACCTCATCTACGGTCCATGATCAACAAAAGGCAAAAACATCACTGATGTGAGGAGTTTATAATCTAAGGATGCACACTCCTCTTTCAGACCACACAATCTTAATCTCTTTCTTATGACACTCATTATTATTATGATGCTATTTCTAACTACATAAGCTCCTGGAAGAATTGGGAAAACCTGCCACGATTTGGTGGGAAGGAAGTGGTACTGAAGCAACAACCTGCAAATTCTCTTTTACAGAACACAAGTTGCATTCTACAATGTGTTTTTTAAAATCTTAGAATTTGAAAGTTTATTTTTTTACTGGAGATTTTTTTTAATCACTCTGAGAATCATAATGGCTGATTTGATAAGGATCATATTTCTTTTACTTCTTGGAAGATGGATTTCTTCCAGTCAAGGACAATAACCATAGAATCATAGAATGATCCCTGGGATTTCAAAGAAATAAATATTAAAATTTTTTTGAATGATGCAGAAGTGCTTTATTTACTGACATTTTCCCCTCAAGATTCCCGAATTCTAAAGACCTGAAGTTTTATCTTTAGGGAACAGATTTGAACCATTCTGAATTAAGCTGTGTTTTAGATGTGCTTATCCTAGCATGGACTTCCCCCCAGTGACAGCCACGAGTCACTCCAGCGACTGCAGGGCAGTTCTGCTGTAGGGGTGAAGGGACTCTGAGATCTGTCACATTCATTGCCTTGGTAAGAATGGATGCAGTCAGTGTCTGAGAGGAAAAAAATGTTTAGGAAATAGGCTCTTTTGATCATAACCATGTGGTTGGTGGTGCTCAGCCTGGAAGAAGAGAGATTGAGGAGGCCTCCCAGTGGGCAAAAGGCTGCTTTAAAGAGATCTGTTACACTTTGTACATACTAAGAGTGGGGAAACTGGCTTAAGTCACAACAACAGAGATGAAAATTAGATATTAGGATAAAAAAAACTCAGTATAGAATAGTTAAAGCCTCACACCAACCAACCTCCTAAGTCTATAGGACTGCTGCAATGAGAAACCTGAATTGGTACGTGCTCGAATCCTGCATTCAGTTTGGGGTCCCTCACTCTAAGAAGGACATGAGGCCCTGCAGTGTCCTGGAGAAGGACAATGGAGCTGGTCTGGAGCACAGGTCCCATGAGGAGTGGCTGAGGGAGCTGGGGGTGTTCAGCCTGCAGAAAAGGAGGCTCGGGGGGACCTTATCGCTCTCTAAAACTGCCTGAAAGGAGCTTGTAGCCAGGTGAGAGACAGGACAAGAGAAATGGCCTCAAGTTGTGCCAGGAAAATAATCAGGAAAAATGTATTCACTGAAAGGGTGGTCAGACATTGGAACAGGCTGCCCAAGAAATTGGTCAAGTCCCCATCTCTGGAAGTGCTCAAAAAATGTGTGGCTGTGGCACATGGGAACAGAGATTAGTGCTGGGCTTGCCAGTGCTGGGTGAATGGTTGAACTCCATGATCTTATAAAATTTTTCTGACTTTAGTGATTCTACTATTCTGATGGAAATAAATTTTCTAATTATTTTTAATTGATTTATTAATCATAAGCAGTATATTATTTATTAGCATTACATTAGTCTTAAGTCACTTTTAGCCAGCACGTAGGTAAGTTTCTTTACACAAACTGATATTGATAGAGTTGGATTGGGAAAATTGCTGAAACTTTAAGTTTTGCTAAACTAGCCCTGATATGCTTTGCTGAACAAAACCTGCGAGAGATGTATTTCTGAAAGTGGACACAAAAAATGCAGAATTTATAGAATACAAGGGAGCTTTGCAGAAACCAGAAGATAACAAAGATTCTTCAGGATGTGCTGCAACACTCCCTACCTGGAGTGTTGCAGCACATCCTACAAAAAGACTGAGAAATGGGGGCTGATTAACATGAGAAGGAAGAATAAATAACCAACAGAGGACAGAATACTAATGAAGAGAATTATTAAATAGAACTGATGAACATTGTGAAAAATACCAATCACTTGTTTTTTAAAATTTTAAAACTTTAATAATAATAAAATGGTTATAAAAATAATACAATTAGAGTAATAAAGTTTAGAGTAAGAACAATTACAAGACAATAAAAAGCAAAGAATTACGGATGTCCGGATGCTCTCGGACACTAAGTCACGAAAAGCATGTCTCATGAACAAAGGACCCTTAAAACAGTACACTTGTTGCATATTCATATATCCTTCATGGTTATGCATACATTCTATTTAAAACAAGAAACTCTGTCTGTTGTATGTCAACTGTTTCATTTAATCCCCATGGCATCTTCGAGTCTGAGCAAGGCCTGAAGAAATTAGTTTCTTCTGATAAGAAGCCATAAATTCCTCTCCTTTGGAAGATTTAGGTGTTCCTCGAAGCGAGTATTTCATTCCTAAAAAAAACCCTCCCCCCACATAGTCTCTATTTTAACATTATGTTGGAACCTAAAACTGTATTTAACACACTACTTAAGAGAATTAATACAGCATAACTTTCTAACATTACACATACAATAGTCATTGCAATATTTGCGAAAAACCAATCATAAAATACGCATTTTTCACAAACATAATTTATTTGTTCGCTAAAAAAGCACAAATAGGTGGGAAAGTCGGATTAAAATCGAATACTAGTGAAACGTGGGTATAGTTTGAGGGGAAACCGCATCCCGGAAAGCTCCGGGCGGACGGAGAGGCCGCGCCGCCCCTCCCGGGCGCCTCCGTGGTTCCTGTTCCGGGCTGCGCGGCCGCGCCATGGCGGCGCACCTGAAGAAGCGGGTGTATGAGGAGTTCACCAAGGTGGTCCAGGTAACACGTCCCCCCTGGGCCGGGATGGTGGCTCCGAGCTCTGCCATGCGGCGGGAGGTGCCGGCGGGTGAGGCGGCAAACCCGCCGGCCCAGCCCGGGAGCGCCGCCCGCTCGCCGGGTGTCGGGGCTGGGGCGGCCCCTGAGGGGTTGGAGAGGAGCGGGACGGGTCAGCCTCGAGTGGTTGTGGAGTCTCCCTCACTAGAGACACTCAGGAACAGTCCGGACATTGCAGTCCTGTGCAGTGTGCTCTGAGATGAGCCTGCTTGAGAGGGAGCTTGGACGAGAGGACCCGCTGCGGTCCCTTCCAGCCACACCCGATGTGTTGGTTCTTTGAACTGAGCAGGGCAGCGAATGCTGCGGGGAAGAGAAAGCATCGCCCAGCCCGCGACTGGGGAAAGAGCTACAGCGAGTTTCTAGGCTGCTCCAGGCCGGTGGGAGTGGGAGAAGTCGTGTTGGCCCTGGATTAGTTGTTTGGTGTTGAAAACAGCAGGATTTGACCCAGCCTAGGGTGGGGAGAGGCCGTGTTTCGCGGGGACGGCGACCACCTGGGCAGGACAGTAACAACCACTGTGGTGTGAGGATGTATTTTTTCTCAGATGGATGAAGGAGAGTGACTGCCGTGGGACATGGCAGCTTCCTTAGGCCTCCCCGTGGTCAGTCTGGGAGGAGTGGGTCTGAATACACTGTGTTTCTGTGCTCTGTCCCTCTGCCCACAGCAGCAGCATGAGGACCTGTCCACTAAGAAGCTGCGGCTGACCAAGCCCAGCAAGTCGGCAGCACTCCACGTGGACCTGTGCAAAGCCACCTCGCCTGCAGATGCCTTGCAGTACCTGCTCCAGTTTGCCAGGAAGCCTGTGGAAGTGGAGAGCGTGGAAGGGGTTGTCAGGATCCTGCTGGAGCATTATTACAAGGTGGTGAAGCTGGGAGTCAAACATGTTTGATCCTTCTGCTCCTCTTTGCTTGGTGTGGGATGTTGAACAGGGGCTTACAGGCTCCTGTGTTGCTGTCTCAGTTGCCACCAGCCTGGGCTGAGAGTGAGCAGCTGTAGCCCTTGACCCAAGTGATTTCTGATACTTGATGTCTGTGCTGATGGTTTCACCAGCCTGTGACAAGTTATCTCTGCACATGGCTTGTGTGGAAGTTAACTTGGCAAGGGACAAAAGACGTGTCAAGTTTTCCAGGGAGCCCAGCTGCCTAGAGCTGTTTCAGCTTTATACTACACTTTCCTGACTGATGTGTCCTTACCTTGTTCTTAATCTTCTCTGGCAGTGGAGAAACCTTTTAATTATTGCTTATGTAGTAAAAAAGAAGCACTTTTAAAATCATAGACTCATGGAATGGTTTGGGTTGGAGGAACATTAAAGACCATCCACTTCTGACCTCTCTGCTAGGGGACACCTGTTAGACCAGGTTGCCCAAAGTTCCATCCAGCCTGACCTTGAGCACTTCCAAGTATGAGGCAGCTTCCCTGGGTAACCTTCTCTGGGCCAGTACCTCACTGCCCTCTCAGTGAAGAATTTCTTCCTAATATCAAATCTATGAAAAAAACTGTCCAAACTTCTCCAATTAGCAAGCAGTAGAGCAAGGAGATGGCCTCAAGCTATCCAATGAGGTTTAGCTTGGACATTTGGAAAACTTTCCATGCTGAAAGGATTATCAAGCACTGGAACAGGCTGCCCAAAGCAGTGGTTGAATCACCGTCCCTGAAGGTATTTCAAAGATGTGTAGATGTGGCACTTGGGGACACAGTTTAGTGGTAGACTTGTCAGTGCTGGGTTAAGGGTTGGACTTGATGACCTTAGAGGTCTTTTCCAACATAAATGATTCTCTGATTCTATGAAATACAGAGTTCCTGGTCAAATAAGAGATTAATTGTACTTGCAGTTTGTTTTGTAGCTTGTATTAGAAGAGAGACTCATGAACCTGCAGACAGGATCACACTGGCAAGAGCACAGCCTGTTACAGAATCCAGCTTTTAAAAATACTGCTTTCAAAACTACCATAGCTGACCTTATTTTACTTACAGACAAAATTTTTAAAAGAACTTGTTTCTTAGTACTCCATAACACACTTTCCCTGGTCATCCAGAAACCTGACCCTGAAAGCTGTAACTGCAGTGGAAGTTATGTGATGATGTATTTGTTTGAAGTGTCATTGTTTTGTTTAAGATGGTCTGTAGCCTCATGCTCTTTCATCCCTATATATTTTGGTAGGGCAGTCCTGATGACAGCATCCATTTTTCAAACACATAGCTTCAACCCTAAAATAAAAAACACATCTCAGTTCAGTTGAGAAAGGGACTGCTACCTTGGGTGTCACATTTGTCACTTGGAGGCTGTGTGTGGCACTGAAGTCTCTCTTAAATACTTGACAGATATAACAGTTGTAACTGTAAAATTTCTTGTTGAAAGATGGGATATTTGTTACTGTAATTTTTCAGCAACACTGAATGTTGAAAATGTATGAACTTTCGAAATTAATTTTAAAGGAATATTCATTGATGACGGTTACTTATGTAATTATCACCTGTGACAGCATTTGCTGTTTCTTAAATGAGTAGATGTATATAGGTAATATATGCTGTTTTCTTTTTTTTTTCTTTAACCTTGCTGTACTGGGGCTTTTTTTGGGTGTTGTTTCCTTCCAGGAGAATGATGCCTCTGTAAGACTGAAGATTGCATCCTTGCTGGGGTTGTTGTCAAAGACTGCAGG